ATGTAACTTCCTTTACAGTAAGGCTGGCTTCACACCTATGTGTCTCTCGGTAATGTGTGGTAAAAATTGTAATGGCATCCTAACACACAAGAACATGTGTTGCTGCAAGTACATTTTTAGTCTGTTGCTGTGGGTTAGCAGCCCACTCTAAATTAATTACCTGCTTTGCCAATACAACAATACAACACACATCATCATATACAATATTGTGTGCGTCTTTTCTTTCAGGACTTTATTTGCACTTTAAAAGAGAAGTATAGCCAAAAATATATTTGGGCCACAAGAGTTAATTTACTAATGTGACCCAAAGTGAGTATTTAGCATGCTAATGCTTGTATATGTTGACAGTACAGAGCCATGCTGCAGCCTGGAAGGATCCCAACAATATTGCCAGTATCTTCCTGGCTACCTGATTAACAGCTGGCTCTTCCTCTCTAGAGCCAGCTGTGGCCACCCCCTGTCTGTCCCTCCAATGAGCACTTGAGGAACAGAGAGAGTACATTTTCTCTGCAGGGAGAAGACCGCAAGCTGAACGATCAGTGGTTTGTGATCACTCTCGACCTCTAGAGGCGGCGTTTGACACCTGCAAAGTCACACACCCGCTCTAAGTATTGGGAAGAGTACATTTTACTCTCCCAATCCTTCTCCTTTTATATTTCAGCTTTGGAGGGATGTCAGCGGGATTAAAGTGGATCTTTCACTTAAATTGCTCTAATAGCCAGTTCACACTATTGTGTTGCCACAACATGTGGTAATGTATGCTGCATCAGTGTGCTGGGCTGCCATTCATTTTTTTTTTTTTCAAACAATTTTTACTTGATTTTTTTCCATATAAAACTGCAAAAATAAAATGAAACACACATACTATCTGCAGGTTACAGAAACCCCCTCGCCCTTCGGGAGCCAGAGTTTCTTAAACTTGCCAAATGAACGTCGACATGGCTTTGTTTAGGCAAGAGATATCGGTAGTCTTTAACAGTAAGGGGAGAGTTTGCAGTGGGTATAGCAACCTTGCAAAACTCATCATTTTAATGAGGTGAATTCTCCCGAAGAGCGATAAGGGAAGGTCCCTCCACATGTCCAGTTCCTTGCAAATTCTTTGTATAAGCGGGGGGGTAGTTGAGATGGTAAAGAGAAGAAAGAGTCCTTCCCACCTTTATACCCAGATAAGTTATGTGCTGCTGTGCCACCCTCATGACTACCTGTCCATCTACCCCTATCGTCCCTGACAGGGGGAGGATTTTGCTTTTTAGGAAATTTATCCGGAGACCCGAGAACGTTTTAAAGTGGTCTAACAGAGTTCTAACGGATAAGACGTCTTCGGTTGGGCGGGAGGTGAATAACAGGACATCGTCAGCAAACATTGCCAGTCGAAGCTCCGCTTTGCCCACCTTAATCCCATGGATCAAGCCGTGTCCTATGATCGGGATCAAGAGCGGGATCGCGGCACTTTCGGAGCCAGGAACCGGTCCATACCCTGCACGCAACCTCCGTGAGCAGTGGGGTGGATCGGCGGGAGCCGTCGGGGCCGGTTTTTTATAACGGTAAGCCGTATCAAGGGGGAGCGCCGTCTCCCTGCTGCTCCTCACATGGGCGCCGGAACCGGAAGCGCCATTCATTTTTAATGGCACCCCAACACACCTGCTCTGCATTGCTTCGTAGTGTGTTGCATTCTTGACACAGTCAGGTGCAGTTTTTACTGTAATTGGCACTTGAAATGAATGAGCTGCCTTAATGTAACACACACTATGGCAGGGTGTAATGCCACACAAATGTGAACCCGGCATAACCCTTATTTATTATTTCCCCATGCATGTAAAACCACTAGATAAACAATAAAGAAAAATAAAAAAATATTAGCAGTAACTTACTTCAGAGCCCAGCTTCTGCTTCCTGGGCTATATTCTTTTGAGATTTAAGATGCTAAGGTTTAGCAAGAGGCTGCAGGAAAGCACTGGGATGTCATGGCAGCTAGGCAAACAGGCCAGAAGCCAGGGTCCAAAGTTTTTATTTTCGTGAATATATTTAGCTAGCGACTTCACATTGTGGGGTGAAGGTTTAATACATAGAGGTTAGGGCAAATTTTAAGGTCCACTTTAAAAACCATCTTGCATCTTACATTTCTTGGCAACTCAAGTGTAGAGATATCCACATCGATGCGCCTGGCTCTACTCCTTCCCGTTGCCATTATGAAGACAGCTGTATTGATCTATGAAGAGCATCAAAAACTACAGCAGTTTCCTATAAGGAAACCATAGACTTCACTCCTCATCAATGACAGCTGCTTCACATTTCAGGTCTGGACAGAGTTTTAGTGGGCTAGGGCATATGTTGAACATGAAACTCTTTCTTTTCTCCTGCATTCCTCATAAAATTATTTATACTGGTAGTTGATGGGCTTCATTACATAGCGCAGCAATTTGATAATTCCCTTAGCAGGAGGCTGATGGCACATCTCAGCACAGGCTCAGCAACAGCTGCGCCTGCCGAACTATAACTGCTTTTCCAAAACTCTGTTTAGCTTTGAGATTCTTGCTCTGTTTTTTTATGTGTGTTTATAAGGAGATATCTGATGGATTAATTGCTAAGGGAGCCTTGACATGCATTGGAGATTAAAACCGTTGAGGAACTGGTGTAACACTTAAAACTGTTTATATAACCTCCATTATATTATGCTTGCCCAATATTACAAAAGATACAATTTAGTCTGCATGCCAGTTGTACAGTGTTTTGCTGTTGTAAGTTTTAACAGTTTTTGCTCCAGCAAAACAGGCCCATCTAAAGGTGAACTTTTCTTTCATTTAAACAGCTAATAAAATGTTATGAAAGTTGACCTTTCCACTGCAGAGACAGTCATGTTGTTAGAGAAAAAGAGACCTTCAGTTTACTAGTAATTGATAAGCGTTGCTTTGTTTGCTAAGTCAGGATTCATGAGAATACAAGGACTCGTTGATGCCTTCTTTGCTTCTTGGGAAATGACTGGGCACCATTATTATTATTATAGTGAATATTGGTTTGTCATTTCAAATGATTGCAGCTGGTTTGCAATGGGTTCATAAGCTTTACTTTTAAGGGTCTATTCAGACTGTTGCGTTGCAGTAATGCATTGTAACACACGATTTGCAGCATGTTACCGCAGCACAGGAAACTGACTCTTAAATAGGGATGGTCTCGATGTTCTAGTCCAACAAGAGTTAGACTTGAACATCGGTTGTTCGTGTGTTTGGCGCCGAGCTCCCCCCAAGGCACTGTGCCCCTCACAGTGTCTTGAAAGAGCCCTGATTGGGTAAAGCAATGCACCAAACCACAGATCAGGTGCAAGACTTTGCCCAATCACGGCACAGTGCACTGCCCTGTCAGGTGGCAGACAAATGTAAACAGTTGGGCGGAGCTAGCAGTGACATCCAATTGTTTATATTTTGCCGACATCTGTCAGAATGCCATTCTGCGGCAGTAGATCGGTGGGCGTCGGTATTTTTAAAAATTATTTCTATCTATTTCTATTTATTTTTTGTTTTTATTTCGTCGAGTCGTCATCATCGTGGACAGCGCTGGACGTCATGATTGACCTTAGGATTACGTTGGTGGATCCATTTTTGGGGGTTTTTTTTAAATTAAAGGAATTGTCAAAAATCCTTTGTTTAGTTTTTTGTTCAAATAAAGTCTGGTCTTTTTATTCACAATTTATTTTAACTCTTTAGTGAAAGGATAGGGGCACAAGTACCCCTTACTCATTCACAAGGGGAGGCCACATCTGGGTGCCCCTTTATTAAAGGGGTACCCCAATGCGAATAAGCCCCCCTACCTGCACCCCCACAACCAACGCACCAGGGCTTGTGGGGAAGAGGCCCTTGTCCCCATCGACATGGGGACAAGGTGCTTTTCCAAGGGGGACCCTGGAAAAGCACCCTCCCAGTGCCAAGAGCATGTGGCCTGGTATCACAGAGAGGGGGGGCACTCGCTCGTCCTCCCCTTTCCTGCCCTGCCAGACCCGTGCTCGGATCAAGGGTCTGGTTAGGAATTTTAGGGGGGACTCCATGTTCCCCCCCCCCATTTTGGGGGGTGGGGACCCTCCTAAAATTCCTACCAGACCTTAAGGGTCTGGTATGACTTTTGGGGGGAACCCCACTCATTTTTTTATTTTTATTTAAATGGGGTCCCTCCTAAAATTCCTACCAGACCTAAAGGGTCTGGTATTGTTTGGGAGGGGGAACCGTCTGTCTTTTTTTTTTTCTTTAGAAATGTCAATTTTGCTGTAGCAGGTTCTATACATTGTACAGATGTGCCACTTTACAGGCAGTTTAAGGGGACCCCCCAGGCACAATATTTATAGGAATCTTTCATTTTTATTGTTTCACTTTAAGCAATGTTAAAATCACTGCTCCTTTAAAAGCGGTATTTTTTTAAAACGTTTTTTTCATTGATACATGTCCCCCAGGGCAGCACCTGAATCCCCATACCATTTTTATGGCCAATGACTTGCATATAAGCCTTCAAAATGGGGACATTTGATTTTCAGAGTTCTGGTCCCATAGACTTTCATTGAGTTCAAAGTTCGAGTTACAACTTTTTCCATGTTCTAAAGTTTAAACTCGAACCGAAGGTGTGTTCGACCCACCACTACTCTTTAGATGTTTTCTCTTTTTTAAAATGTTTTTTTCATTGATACTTGTCCCCCAGGGCAGCACCTGAATCCCCATACCATTTTTATGGCCAATGACTTGCATATAAGCCTTCAAAATGGGGACATGTGATTTTCAGAGTTCTGGTCCCATAGACTTTCATTTAGTTCAAAGTTCGAGTTACAACTTTTTCCATGTTCTAAAGTTTAAACTCGAACCGAAGGTGTGTTCGACCCACCACTACTCTTTAGATGTTTTCTCTCATTTTGTTTTATTTTTATTTATAGGTAATACCGTAAAAAAGTATAACAGCAAAAATTAAAACAAACTATTAAAACAAAATATAAACTTTAGCCTTTTGTTTTTTTATTCTTTTAGCCATGTCCGACAGGGTCTCGAGACTTCAGAGAAAAGCAGTGTGGAGACTTTGATAGCATGCCGTTTCGTGGAAAATACTACAACTGGAAACCCTACACTGGAGGTAATGTGCAATTCTGTTAGAATTATGGCATTTGCTGCCAATCCCCACCCCTGTGTATTCCTATTGGCCTGTCACAATGATTGGCAGTCATACTGACTAGTAGGAATGTGCAGGAACCAGGAAAGACAATCTTTTGCTATTTAGCTGAAAGATTCTTTCTAATCAGATAAGAGGATATGTGCATTCACATAGAATTATATTGGAACAGCTATATTTTAAAATGATCCCCCTTCTCACTTGCATCGTTTGTCTGCTCTTTTAATGCAGGCAGTGCTGAAAGATGAACCACAGTGAGACTTATGTTGCTACCTCCTAGTGAATTATCTGAGGTAGAAATGGAAAATGCACTCCAGAGATGTTTAGCTCACATCAGGGCTCTAGCTGTCATAGTAAGTTGTAGGGGGTCTCCACTAGTGTCTGGCTAGTAGGGGAAATGCAGAGTCTTGGCACAAGTTCCTTAAGCAAATGTGAGTGCCTTTCACCTCACACAATGGTGCCAAACTGTTTGTGACTTTTTAAATGTTTGAGGTAGGACTGGTAGAGCTCCATGTTTGCCTGTTCTGGCTCAGTGGTCGCTCGAGCAATTGAGCTTCAGCTCCAAGTTTGCTCCAGAGTCAAGCAAGCCCTAAGCTTTGCACCGGCACCAAGCAATGAAGCTTGCTGTAAACTTGAGAACTGGTTTGAGGTGCCACCTAGTTAGGAATAGCCTATAACAGCCCCCCTTTCAGTTATAAAGGTCTTTTTTTACTATCTGCAGGGAAGTTTGTGGCAGTAAACACCCAAGGTAGATCATATTGGGCTTTGTGTTATAGATATTTGACAACGTTATTAAAAAAGCTAAATTGTCCTATTATGAAGCTGCGATGCTAGCCAAATTCCATGACTTGCTGTACTGCATTTGACTGGAGGAGACCTGCTGATTTGTGCTAGGGATAAGCTCTTTCTCATGTTACATAATGAACTAAGAGCAGGCTCTTAAACCTCATGCCTGCCATACAAGCAGCAGATAATGATTTAAGATTCCACCTATAATCCTTCCTTCTGCTATAATACAGACACAGTGCTGTCTGCTTGAGAAACAAAAAACCTGTAAACTATTACTGATCTGAATTTTGTAACATTTCACTGTGCAGCATCCCAGAGCCTTACTAGAAAGGAAAATTAGGTCATGCTTTTAATGTGCTTTTCCATTGACTTAATAATTTGAAGGACGTTTGTTAGTGTACCATATGGTGCTAAACTGAGTAAAATGGGACACAACAGGAAACAATTTAGAATATGTCACTTTTTTTTCAAATATCATGCAACATCAAGAAACTGCTATTAAAGAGGATTTCCACTCTAGTTTAAATGTCGGCTGCTGCTTGAGGGTTCAGCGTGTCATAGCAGTCTCTGAAGTCATTTGTATGATTGGCCAGGTCACTGAAACAAACATTTCCTGAGTAAAGGTACACTCCCGTCAAACAAGATCATTTTGCATCTAACATCTCTCAGGGTATACATATGACCTATTACCTTGCTGTTGTTTATCATGGTCCTCGTTTTTTAACTTTGTTGATCTCACTGCTAAATTCCTATGTTGCTTCTGCATCTAGTGAAAGGCCTAGAATCTGAACTCAACTCAACTATTTCCAGGTTTTAAGCAGAAAGCTTGAGTAGCAAAACCATGTGACAAGATGTCCTACTAACATGACCCGGGCGCTGCCATAAGCCTAGATGCTCTAGATATGTTTTCTTTAAAACTTAGGTTAAAATGCATCTGTGGGCTCCAGTGCCCTTTTGAACCTGAATCAAGTCAGTAACTCAGCCACCTCAGTTAATTTCTAAAACAGCCCAAGGCTCAGAAACCAGGCTTTCTTTACTATGCTGACAGTTAACAGAGTTGCTGTGGCTATCCCATTCCTGCTCCCCTATCCTTCCTGCTGCTCATGCAGTTGGATGGGTGCCCTAAGGGGCCAATTGGGAGGCAACAGGAAGACAAAGGGTTGGGCTGCAGCATGACCAGGGCAGTTTGCATTTCCACTTTGGAAATTAATTGACTATTGTTGCAGGCACAGGGAAGTGTCTTTGGTAAAGGCCTGTTGCTGGTTCAGTAGAACAATGGACTCTGCAACCTTGCTAAGGTGCATTGAGTGGAATTTCTGAATTTAGCAAAGTGGCAATGTGTGCTGGCTAGGATAAGTAGTTCACATATTGATTTTTCTTGTTACAGAGCTGCCCTATTTAACTATTAAAAAGTTACACACAAAAAGAAAAATGAAATCTATTGTTCAGGATACCAAATGATTTAATTTGGTAGGAATCACTGTCTCCTTGTAGTTTTCTGGAATATAGCCAAGTGTTACATTTTTCTTAGAACTGTAGAAAAAAAATGACCCATATAAAGTATTACAAATGTAGCTTTTTGTAGAGTCACAGTTATTCTTGCCTAAGCAAAAGAATCCTTTCTGCCTACATCCTTCTCAAAATGCTCTTTCGCTGTGTGACCAGCATCAGTTGTTTGAACAAAGTAGCTGATTGCAGCATATTAACATTCTGATTTGAATGTGGGAGGCTAGATACACAGCAGAAGATTATCCTGTAATTTCAATCCTTTTTGTCCTTTGACAGTCTCCCTTTTTTTCTGTTACATTAGTAACAGAAAAACATCTGTTATGTTTAATTTTTAACCAATTCCATCCCTATTGCACTTTGCCAACACTGCATAGGTAACCAAGTGCCGTGGTATTTTATATGCAAGGAGTTTAACAAGAAATGCTTGATGAAGGGGAAGTGTACATCTGGTAGAAAAGTGGCTCTTCCAAGGTTCTGATTATAGTTTTATGAGCAAATAGGATTTACCACTTTTGTTTCTTTTACAAATATTATATACAATATGGCAGAAGGTAGAAATATTTTAGGTGGAAAGTCTTTTGTAAATGCAAGGCCATCAATGATCCCTTTAGGTTTTGTTGAATGCTTAAAATAAAACTCCATTATTGATTAAAAAAACAGGTCTACAACATATATTACAAAGACCTAAGCAACATTTTTAACTAGAATTTCCCTTTTGAAGGAACTAAAGTCCAGAAAATATAGCTATATGTTTCCAGTCCTTCAGTTCCCAGCGTATGCCTGTAAAAACTGAATGATTAAACAACACCATGATGAACCTCTTAGGCTCTGCCACAGTCAGGCAGCCAAACTTTCCCGTCTACAGTGCTGCTCTGTGCTGTCAGTATATAGTTTTTATAGTTTTTTAGTAAATGTCCTCCTGTGATCCTAAAGAGAACCACGGCAAAGAGAGGTTTCCCCATAGTTAACTTTTAAAGAAGACATTTTGCAATTGAAACACTTGTTCCAATGAATACTGTCTCAAAGTAGATTTTGACATGTGCCAATGAGAATCATCGTTCCAGTGAAAACTGTCTAAGAGTAGATTTCTCTCACTTTCAATAGATGTCCTCTTAGTTCTAGTTGTTTCTGCAGGATAGGAATTTAAAGGAAATCTCCTCAATGGGTCACAGATGACAAAAAAGTAACAGTTATCTATTTCCTACTCTATCCTCTTTAAATTTAACTCTTTAAAATAAATTGTTTTGAAAGAATTCACATTAAACAGGTTTAATCTGAAGATTTATATACATCCCATCCTGCGATCCTAAGAATGTTTTTTTCTTTCTTTCCCCCAAAATGCTGTAAATCTGTGCCTCTTGAGCAGGTGAAATAGGATTTGCAATATGAGCTACAGAAGAGGAAACTGCATTCCTAATACTTTGTCTGGTTCTGTCATGACTGCACCTCAGAGTAGATGGCTGGGATTTTTCAGCATTAATTCTATAGCCATAACGTTTACATAAGTGACATTCTTTGTCTAGTTTGCTGAGGTCAGGCATGTTCTCTTTACAAGACACACTGATTGACTTACAGTGTCTGCACTAATGTACATTGAGGTGACATGAGGTGAAACAGATGGCCAAAAAAGGACAGATTAGGTCACGAGTGGTTCAGAGATCTGTAAATAAGGAAGAATCATTAGCAGTGACTTACAATTTGTAGTTATTTTATGGAGACAGGGGTCAAGTAGCGTTTTAATCTGAACATGATCCCATGTTTTAAAGTGTATGTAAAGCCACAACTGTTTTTTTTTTCAGTATTGGATGGAGCGGGGAAAAAAGGTTAAGATCCTTGCCTTTTTTATTTTTTTTTGCTATGTTCTGTTGGAGAAGTTTTACTTCACTTCATGTCCCTGAGACACAGCAGGAAGTCAGAGTAAATCTCTCTAAAATCTCTCTAATCTTCTTGTGATAACTTGCTTATGGTGACCAGAAAGTTCCATTGCCTTGCTGATGTCCAAAAATCCACTCTGTTTCCCTTTATTTGAGTTTTGCAACAATTTTTGGGAGCCACACTGAGCATGGCTGTTATATGGTAGGACGTCAGCCTCTTTCCAGTGCCATTGTGATGGCAAAAGCTTCCAGCTTCCATTCAAGTTGAGGTAAATGGGGGTGGGAGTAATTTCTTTGCCAAGGCCTGTGGCATACACAATTAGAGTCTGGTCATCCTGAGGAATGTGCAGTTTAGAGCAAGAATCCATAATAATACATATGCGTACAGATAGGTGGGACATGGACCCTGAAATTCTCTGAGTCTGAAACTCTAATTGACTTATTTTCTCTTTAAATTTAGCATGTATTGAACTCCCAATGAACCTCTTTAATTAACCTCTTGCCGTCCGCCCGTAGTAAAAAAACGGACGGACGGCACTGCTGCATTTGCGGGTTGCCGTCTCCAGACGGCAATTTTTTTCCGCTCGCGCGCCCCCTAGCAGGCACGCACGGGCAGAAAAGACCCGACCGTTGCACACACCCGTTACCGGGTGTTTCACATATAGGCGATCAGCGGGTCCATAGCACCAAAAAAGGGTATAAAATTCATTTCAGTACAGCGCTGCATGACGGAATAAATGTCAGTCAAAGTACCGCAGCGCTGAATACTGAAAAATGGCCTGGATGGGAAGGGGGTTTAACACCGCGGATGTCAACTGGTTAAAGGGCAGAGACCAGTAGTGCATAGTAGACAGTTACTATCAATCAGGATTCAGGTTTTAGCACCCTAAGACATACAGCGAAATTAAATCAAATTTCTGGTATTCAAGTGACTCTTTTATAAGTATATTACAGTGACTGCTATTGCTTGCCTCCTGAAAGTTCTGGTTGCCTGGCTGTGTCTGACAAAAAGTGGAAATTTAACCTCCTATTCCTTACAACCAAGGAAGGTGCCATCTTAGCCTCTATTTGGATAGCTGTTGCCATGGTGCTGCAAATGTGGTCCGCTATGACACCAGCCATTTAAGGGGTTGAAGTTCGGTAGAGAGTTTTAAAAGTAATGTTTTGGCAGACATTAAATTTGTGGGTAAAGTTCCTCTTTAGATACTTTAAAGTAACAGATCAAGAACAAGCATTTTCTAAACAACTGTCAGAAATGTGTCAGAATTCCATTTATAAGCCAATACCTCAGACTAAATTGATGCTAAAGGATCAGCAATGATGCCAGGAAACTAGCATTCTCAGAAGGAGTAGTCAGGAATTGCAGTTTCTACTATTCTCTTATGACACATCCCCTTTAAACAAGCCCCATGCCCGACTTTGGCAATGTTTTCCTTTTTCTAATTCATAGGATTACGCTTATGAGTTAGTACTTGCAACTCCAGTTTTCTGCACGGAAGCCTTAAGGAAATTGCTGAGTTATATTTTATTGACAGCAATTTGTTTAAATGTGTGCATAAAAGCAGACAGTATTGCAAGACATACTTAAACCTGACTTTGCAAATGTTTAAGTTGAAGAAAAATTATTATATCTGTGGCTTAAGTATGTTAACTGTAGCATGTTTTTCTATGATGGCTGTTCTGCGGTTTGAAATGTTGCAGGCCACATATAAAACGGTAATATCTGTGTCCATTCTGCAATCACAGGTGGTGTTAAATCGTGTGCATTAAACTGTTTGGCTGAAGGCTATAACTTTTACACTGAGCGGGCCCCTGCTGTTATAGATGGAACACGCTGCAATTCCGATTCCCTGGATATCTGCATCAACGGAGAATGCAAGGTTAATGGCTTTCCATTTTAACAAACACCTGGACATCTAAAATTTGTCTGATAACAGTTCTCTTCCCCTTTGTTGTTTCTCTGAAGTAATTCAGTCCTGATTTAGATCACACTTTCAACAGAAACATTCTACAAAGGAGTGCTGGATACTTGGTTATGTAGTTTCTTTTAGCTAAAGAAGCTCTGTTATAGCCAAGCCGCTATTCCTAATTTCCTAAAGACATCTTACTGACTGGAAAAGTACCAACTGATTGGCATAAAGCAAAATGTGGTATCAATATTTAAAACAGGATCAAGATGTATTCTAGGAAACTATAGACCAGTCAGTCTAACATCAATATTATGTAAAGTTTTTGAGGGAATGGTAAGGGCAAGAATTTGTCTGCGATAATTATATCAAAGTAACAACCTGCATGGTTTTATTAAAGTTAATTCTCATCATACCAATCTGTATTCAATGTATGAGGAAATTAGTAGGAATTTACATGGAGGAGGACCAGTGGACATCGTTTTTTTAGATTTTGCTAATGCATTCGATACTGTACCTTCCAAACGTTTAATCCATAAGGTCTATTGGTGTGGAAAACATTTTATGTACATGGATAAGAAACTGGTTGCTTGAACGGGTCCAGAGAGTTGTGATAATCGACTCATAGTGGATGAGGTTTAATATTGAACAATGTAAGCTTATGCAGCTGAGTGACAATAATACACATGCAAATAATAGTTAGGAAGGGCTTCTCTGGGAGAATCGGTAATGGAAAAGGAAGTAGGGGTACTTGTAGCTCACAGACGTAGGAATAGCATGCAATGCCAAGATGCAGCTAACAAAGCTAGCAGAATACTCTTTTGTATTAAAAAGAACATATATTCAAGAGATAAATCAATAATTCTACCCCTTTATAAAACACTGGTTCAGCCTTATCTTGAGTATGCAATTGAGTGTCCGTCACCATCCACATGAAGCATGTCCTTGAATTAGAAAGTTAAGTGAAGGGCAACAAAGTTATTAAAGGGTTTGGAGGACCTCAGATATGAGGAACAGTTACAAAGACTATACTTTTTCACTCTGGAAAAGAGGCACCTAAGAGGCGATATGATCATAATGTACAAATATATCAAAGGTGATTATAGTAACTATAATACTATATTTACTCTAAGGTCCCTGAAGAAGACACGCTGCCACAATTTGGGGTTGGAAAAAAGAGATTTAATCTTAGATTGCGGAAGGGGTTCTGTAAAATGTGGAACTCCCTTCCTCAGGTAGTGATATTGGCTGAGTGTCGATAAATTCAACTTTTAGATGTCTTCCACCGAGAGCATAGTATACATGGATATCGGAATTCTTAGATACTTGCACTCGGACACAAACACAGGTTGACTAAATGGACCTGTGTCTTTTTTCAACCTTATCAGCTATGTAAAAATGTCAGGTTTGCCATCTGTGTCCTATTGAGGAGATTTAGCTTCACCTTTCGTCCATTGGAAGATCTTATCTCTATATCTGTTCTTATGATAAATTAATACTTTGGATTTCTCATCACTTTCATTTCTGGTAACAATGTTCACCAGGACAAATAGAGAGAGTGGGTACACAGACAGAATTAAAAATTTACAGGGGTTCTAACCTCTCACCAAGCTAAAAACTAAAAACATTTTCACTTTAGAATACTTTAAATCTTTTGTGAGGCTTTTTTTCTTGTCTGGAGGGACGTTAGTCATCTTTTTGTGTGTCAACAAGACAGAATGTGAGTAGAATGTCTCTGTCAAGAACTTTACTAGGAGAGTCAAGAAGGGTTAGAATTTCTGTCAGTGTCCCTGTTGACAAGTTGACACTGCAAGCAAATCTATAATTAAAGGTCTCTGTCCCCAAGAAAACCCAGCACCTGTAGATATAATGAGAAACCTCTGTATTAGTAAACAGATGGGACAGGTATAAGATTTTCAAGTTTCCTGAAAATCACGTTTACTGAGGTTGAAAATCGCAGGGTTATATCACAAACTATGAGGTCACTATCTTCAACAGCAAGTGCTACCAAAAACATTGTTAAATGAGATCCTTCAGTGTGGTGGCTGCATAATTTTTTAAAATTTAAAGTGACATTAAAGTCAGAATTTTTTTGCCCCTTTCCAATCCTGCTGTAGGTACTTACCTTACATGATGGCTCTTGATTCGATCTTCTTCTTCTTTCCTGTCCTTTTCAGCTGTCCCTCCAGCGCTGATGCGGGTCTCCGATCCAGCCATGACTCCTCTGTCCTCCTCTTCTCTCATGCCCCATGGAGTCTGTGCGTGTGCACGTTGCTCCATAGACTTACCTTGTGTCTCTGCTCGTCTCCCGGCCGAACATCTGAAGTGCACATTCACCTGCCCCAAGATCCTTTGCGGCCGCCCGAGAAGCTTCAGGTGTTCGGACGGGAGTGCACGGCGAAGACACAAGGTAAGTTTAAACCCTTTTTAAAAGTTTTTTTTTAATTAACTTGACAGCAGTAGATATCTGCAAAAACCACTGAGGGTTTAATAACCCTTCAAGGCATTTATTTTCCTTTATATCCATCCTGCTAGTAGCACGCTTCTCATCCTAGGCTTGGTAAGCTGCAATATGTTACTTTTTTGGGGTTTAAATATTCTTTAAGGTAGACCTGGGGTGATTGTTGGTCACTTTGACTAAATTCAACTGGAATGAATGGGAAATCTCAATTTTCGGGGTATTGTTTGGCTGGTAGCTGTGATTACTCAGAACATTACTTAAATATTTGCAGCCAGCACATCCTATGGCCATGGCTAATTTCGTTTTTTCATGGACTTTAGTGTGTCTGATTACACCAACTGTCCTGTATCCAATGATTTTTACGGCTATGACAGAACCAGCTTAACCGGTAGTGGGTCTTGACCATTACTAGATTCTTCATAAAGGGCAATTAAAGGAAGCCAATTCTATCAATCGTGACACTGGCAAAATCTCTGAAATCCAACTTCCAGTACTACTAGGAGAAGGCACTGCCAGTTTAAAAAATACTGCTGAAAATGAATCCGACGCAAAGAAGCACAGAAAGAGACAGAGTGGTTTAGGGGGCGAGACACCAACTCCATAGTATGATGCACATTCAGTCCTAGGAATTCTGCTGCTGGCAGACCCTTGCTGGTAATAGACTTTCCTATATGACACGGGCTGTGTTCCTCCTGTCATGGTTACAGCAAGGCCGAGATGTTGTAGGATAAATTTTCCAGCTGAGATTGCAGAGACTTGTAACAAACATGGTGGAAAGTCATCAAAATCAACCAATACTAATTAATCACATTTGGGCGTTCTGACCCTTCAAAACAAAGCTAACAGAAGTGTTCATTAAATTTACTTTTTTTTAAAGTGTTTGAAAAAGTAACATTTCATGCAACCCACAAGGGGAGGTCCCTATCTACAGTCCTAACTGAATAGCTCAGTCACTTGACAATATATGACACAACACAAACACAAGTTTACTTCATGTGAAAGTTTATATTTTATAGCACCTGACTGCTGTATTAGCAATGAATGATTTGCATGGATTGTGAATTTACATCATATGTGATAGAGGCGTTGAACTTTTCTAATGCAATAATATATAAGGGCAGTGGTCTTATTAACAATGCACTTTCGTTAATCTCTTTTGGTTAGCATGTAGGATGTGATAACATTTTGAGCTCAGATGCTAAAGAAGACAGGTGCCGAGTATGTGGAGGTGACGGAAGCACTTGTGAATCTATAGAGGGATTCTTCAATGATTCACTACCCAGAGGAGGTAAGTTGAAATTGTATGACTCAAAGAAACTGTTGAGCATTAAAAAACTTAAAAAATGAACATTAAAAGACTTAAAATATAAGCACAGTTGTTTGGAATTTTGATACTAATGGTATATTCTTTATATGCTTACCAGTAATGCTCTAGTTCTCAAAAGCAGAGATGGTCAATGGCTTTAGATCACAGTTTTATTGATTCAACTATTCTTGGGGGTTCCACTGGCATAAGCTTGTCTGGGTGAAGGGTGGGAGTTATAGAGACTGGGCAATCTGTAATTTCTTAACAATGCCATATGGTAACAACTACCATTTTACTTTTTACTTTCAGCAATCCAACTTGTTATGTACAAATCTGTGCATGTCAAATTCTGATTACATTTTTATCAGTGATGTTTGGATAATTATTTAAAATAGCTATTTTCTGTCATAGCTGTTTGCACAAATGTATCTATTATATTCTATAATCTTAAGCATTGAAGATACTACTTTGTTCTTCTACATAGAAAGGGGATTTAGATTATACATTGTATAAGGGTGAACCAGAGAGCAATAAGTACAATAATTTTTTTCTGCTAGGAAATAATATTTAGAACTTAGAGGCAAACAGAGCTGCACATCTGGGTGAGCCTTTTAAAGGGGTTTTCATTCTGAGAGGATAATAGTCCATGCTTTAGCACCTCCAATGATAAAAAACTAAGGGACCTCCTTGGAGGGTGTTGCAGATGAAATATGAAATTGCAGAATGTTAGGAAAATAATCTGAACAGCTTCCATGTTGCTACATGTGTCTTAGATAGGGGTACGTGTTTTCCTTAAAGTTAATATTCTTTTGACTATTTTCAACTACATAAAGTTGCATTACATCTACTTTACATTACAGGTACTTACTCCACATAAATCAAGGCTGATGGGCTGATTAGAGCTAACATGTTTGAATGATCAACAGATATGCAAGCTGATTATAAGCTTTACCTCTTAAGCTAGCCATACTGCAATTGATCTCATTATTTATAAATAAACAATCAGACTATTTTTCCTATATTGGACTGTTTAATTCACTTTGGTCAATTGGGTTTTCATTTTCTGCCTATGCAGTAGCGATTAATAGAAGTTGGCACGACTGGTGCATTCCTGATGGATCCAGGCAATCTCCTTAGATATACTTGGGTGCAATGTACATTCTTGTCAGGTCTCTTATAAGGGAAGGGTGTGTAAAAATTATCACCTACTCTATGTAATTGAGGCTGACTTGAGTTGCTGAACCCCATCTGTTTCAGGGTGGTCTAATTTCTGCTTTACTGTCACAGAACTAGCACAAGTCAGTCACATGTTTATAGTGTGGGGTACTTTTGCTGAAGCCTGATGAAGGGACCCTGCAAGGTCCCAAAAGCGCTTGTTTCAATTCTGACAACTTGTTTAATAAAATGGGCATTTGGTGATACCAAAAGGATCTTCGTGGTGCTGGTGACATTATTGACGATTATCTTGTGGGGTACTTTTATATCCTCTTCCTGAACACCAGCAAAACAGGGTTGTAGGCTCTCAGACATATGTCAATCTTATTGGTGTTATTTACTGGTCTGGAGGAATATAGGATTAAGTTACCAACATATCATCTTAATAAATAGACATTTATTGGGAAGAGCACCTGAACATATTGGTTGTTTGCTGTTATTTGTACTCCGTTCATTAGTGTCAAATTTAAAATGTTCATAATGACTTTAGGCTATAGTGAGATTTAAAATAGACAAAAAATGTTAAAAGCTAGAATTCCAAAAGAGGTCATAAATCCTGCAGATGTATCCAAAATATTTGGGCACACTAACTGTGAAAGAGTGGCGTTTTTGCCATGGTCTTCCAGGAAAGGGCAGAAATTGAGAAACAGGGGAAATGGCCAATAAAATGTTTTCCTTAAAAGGATTAGCGCCTCAATATCAGTGGCTTGAATATGCAACGGTCTTATCTATGCTTATGATCTAGCTCTTAGGTCTCCACAGCCATTTTTACAAAAGTAATTACAGTTTTCTTTCTTTCCTTGAGAATCTTTGGTGTTAAACTAGTTCAGACTTTGTTTTTTTGCTGACAAAATGGTAAGTATGCTGGGCTGCGTCCAGTTGTATATTGTTCCGTGAGCTGCCCTGCTCCACGTGCACCTTACATCTTTATTTTGGTTGTAGTCTTACAGATTTAAACTGGAGTTTAAATCTCCAGTAGCTGCCATTGAGTGGGTCTGGGCTTCTGGTGTGTCCTTAGAGACTGAATGTATTAATGGCAATGGGCAAAAAAAAACAAAAACAATGCATTACATATCTGCAACACATGCACATAATGCCATGTTTTAAAGACCTAAGTACCAAAAGATTCCTGAAATACACTCAGCTCTTAAGTCCTGACAACATACAGCATTTTTGCGGACGGAGTGGTGTCAGCCCTGCCCAGTTGTTTTTTGCTAAACTAGTCCAACCTTCTGACTCTCCTAATTGCTACATCATGAACACTTATTATTCTGTAGTCCAAGATAAGAATTAGGAGGACTTCGATAACACAGGAATTGTGCACAGGACTGCTCTAAATTTATAACATGATAAACAGAGATTTTTGCACTTTTGAGACAGACACAGAAAACACTTTTAATGGTATATAAATAAATTATTTTATTATAATATTATTTTATAATGTTATATTGTTAAATATTCATTTCGTTTCATGTCCCAAGATAGGATCTCTGTTTGACTATAGTTTCAAACCACGTATAGTGTGGCAGTATGCAGTGGAGTGGAGTGGCAATTTATTTTCGCAAATGTATACAACAAAAAACTGTTTAATGCAAATTGTCAAAAAAGTTTAGACTGTTGTTTGTTGACTAGCTAGTAAATGTGCAAAGATTTTTTTTTTATTGTACTGTTCTTTGGTAGAATGAGTACAACCAAAAGCTCTAGAATGGATGGGGAATATCACCAATATACTTCCTCTAGCAGAAGCAAGTTGGTGATTCACGCCTCCCCAGCATCCACCCATAACATAAAATCATATTTGGGTGCACTGACCTTTATTCTCTACATGCACTGAGTTGGTCATGTGATACACATTGATTTACTACTGCATTTCAAGCATTCTTATAAACGCATGATCATTTTGACTAAATATTATGATTTTGTTGGTTTAACATTTACGAAAATAAAGAGATTTATTTGATCTCCAAAAAATAAAAATGTTTCACTTAGAGTTCATGTGGATTCAGTTAAAAGTATGGTACCATGTAGGTAATCTGTTCTACTAATTTAACATGAATAAAATATTATGTATAACTGAACAAACTTTGGAGATAGAAGTCATTTATGCATTTCAGTTACCTACATTACCTAGTAGAGGGCAGGACTCAGGTGATCTTTTAGGAAACTATAGAATTCACAGTGTGATGAATAATTTATTATATAATTGCACTGTATCTCTCTGAGGAGGATAACTGGGTAATCTTTGCCTTTCAGGCTACATGGAAGTCGTTCAAATTCCAAGAGGTTCAGTTCACATAGAAATTAAAGAAATTGCCATGTCTAAGAACTACATTGGTAAGTGTTTGCTTGAGTGGAGTGGAATAGATAGATAGATAGATAGATAGATAAATAGATAGATAGATAGATAGATAGATAGATAGATATGAAATTGACTGTTCTTTAAAGTTGGTGAGAACAAAATATTTTACTCTGAAAGTGTATTGGTGGTATTGCTGTGAAAGAACGTTTCTGTTGTATATCTACTTTGTTTTTAACGGACCGTTGTGTTACATTAATTTAGAAAGAAAGAAATATCTTTGAGAAGTAATTGTTTGCTCAGGTAGGTATTGTATGCTAATAAATGCCTAATTCTAAGTTGCTATTTAAAGTCTACTGGCTGGTATACATATAACTAAAAGATTACGACCATTAATGACCTGCAAACAGGCTAGTGAGGTTTCTCCTCCAAAACAGCAGCCCATGCTGAAGGTACTCTGGATCTTTTAGTTCTCTGGTACCAAAAATTCCTATGATAAAATGTCAAATCTGCGCTTGTGGATTCAGCTTAGATATTGAATGGGTGATCTATTGCAGCTGCTGTACTATACACTCTGAGGTCAAAAGGAAATTGTTAATACTAAAATGTGCAGCGCTACAAACCAATTGTGGTGAATCTATCTAACCTCTCAACTTCAATAGTGCATATATATTTGTGAATGTACTGTCAGTGTAAAGATTGCAATTCTATAGCAAATCTGTGACAATTGCACTTAGAAAAGTGCAAAGAGTGCAAAACAAAGTGCCAACGTGCAATATTGACAATTGAATAAATAAATAAAGTAGACAATATAAAATTATGCTGTTATAAAAGTGCAAAAAAACCCACAATCGTGCTTGGATGAAGGGGTGGAGAATCCAGAATTCTAAACCAAAAATCTCAAAATAAAAATTGTATGTTTTGTTGGTAACAAGAACATTTTTTAAAGAAAATACTATTTCATTTTTATATTGCACCCTAGCTCTTAAATCGGAATCAGATGACTATTTCATAAATGGCGCCTGGACAATAGACTGGCCAAGGAAATTTGATGTCGCAGGAACAGCATTTCATTATAAACGCCCAACTGATGAACCTGAATCCCTGGAAGCCTTAGGACCAACATCAGAAAGCCTTATAGTCATGGTAAATATTGCTTTCTGAAAAATAGAAAACATTACAGTTCTGCTTGTGTGTACAAGGTTCCCCATGTGATTATAATGAAATGGGTTTTTGATTGCTTAAGTGTATGTAAAGCTAAACCTTTTTTTTTATTTTGGTTGGAGTGAGGAAGTGTCAAAACTCCTATTAGATCATGTTGCTGTGTGTCTCTCCTATTAGATAATGTTGCTGTGTGTCTCTAGGTGTGTCCTGGCAACTGTTGTCTCTGGTACAGAAAGTGATAGGAAATCCAACATTTTCATGTTGTCACAGAAACGGGAGATGGGGTAAATTTTCCAATGGAGACACCTGTTCCAGTGACCGTTTTCTAAGAGGGGATTTCCCATCAGTTTGGAGAAATTGTCTCTGACTTGTGTCACTCCGGCAGGAAGTGAGGGGAAATCTGCACCATGGCACACAAACGGGGAAAAAAAAAAGTTAGGGGTCCTAAACTATTCCCTACCCTAGCCAAAATAAAAAAGAGCTTGTAATGGTAAAAATATTGTCTGTCTTTTTCAGGCTCTTGATAATGATTTAAAGCATATCTAACCCAAAAACCCTAAATGTATTATATATGTCAGTTTACCAGTCCTTAGATGTGGTGGCTACATTCATTTTATTTTTTACTCTTTGTTTCCTTTATTTTCACCTGGTAATTTCCTGTCTCTGGGTAGCTACATTCACTCCACCACTGCATGTATGAGCTATGGTTGCCACCTGGCTGGATTAGAAACATGTTTGCCATGGTGACTGATAGGATTAGTAATTTGCAGAAAAAGACATGGTAGTTTGTGCTTTCTGTTAAAGTTGAGTTGAGGAATATACTTTGTGATTATCAGCTGAGTGATTGTAAATAAATATGGACATTGGGGCCTGGAATCTCACTCCTGTTTCCTGATCCTTGACAGTGGACCTTTCCCACAAGGCCCACTTATTCAAGGTATTCCATTCCCCCTCTTTAAAACCCTGCATGAAAGTACCTGGTGGGGTGCAAAATAGATAATATACTTACCTTTCACCCACTTACTCCCACAGTGCCTAGGCCTGAGTGGCATCATCCTTCCAGCCAGATCTCTGAGAATGTTGAGCAGATCAAATCTCATGAGAAGATGATCTGGCACTGTGCTCCAAAGTAATTTGGGCAACTCGGCATTCCCAAGGATATTGTTGTCAGGAGAATGATATCAACCCCTGCACTATGGAAGTTAGGGAAAGGTGAGTATATTATTTAACTATGAACACAATTAATAACTACTACCCCTATTTAGGAATATATTACAAAAGTCCACATCAAAGTGTTAGTGGCATTTTTTGAAGACTTCAAATTCAAAAAAGTACAAAATGTATTCTCAATTCCATAAAGTTCACAGATTCCATTAAAAACATACATATACAAACATTGTTTCAATTCTGCCTTAATGCCACATAAAAGCTATAGTTTTACGAGTAATAAAATAATGAAATCTATGAACTTTTATGGAATTGAGAATAAATGTTGTACTTTTTTGAATTTGAAGTCTGATGCCTCTTAAAACCCCACTTTCACTTTAATGTGGACTTTTGCAATATATGATTTAACTATGTTTCCCCCCACAAATACTTTTATGTAGAGAGGGAAGGGGGCACCTTGAATAACCAGACCTTGAGATGGAAGGTCCACTTTAAACTCACAGGAAGTGACAAGGTCAGTGCACTTCTGGCAGGAGAAACATGTAATTTCTGTACGTGCTGAAAAATGAAAACTAATGCAGCCACCCAGGGCTGTCCCTATAATGAGACTGTTGCCTCAGGTGGCATCTTACTGAGGAGCAGCTGAGTGGTGGGTGTGGGTGTGTGTGGGGGGGGGGGGCGGCTACTACAGCCACATTGGCAATTAACCTAGGGATAGCCCAGCAGCCACTGTATGTATCTAAGGACAGGCAAGCTTATGAGTTTGTTTCTTCTTTTATATCACCTTCAGTATATAGCACTCTACAGTCATTTGAAAAAAAAAGCCATTTTTTTTTATTTTTGATATGTCATGGGAGGACTCCACTCCAATGTGTCCACATTATGCAAATCCTTTAATACTGTTATAACAGCTAAGCTGATATGAGTTGCTGCAGGTAATTCCAGCATTACAATAACATCTCGGCTCTTCTATGCCCTGCAATTGTCCCGTTGCCTTAGTGAACATTACAAATACTTTCTCCTAATGTTCGCAGTTGTACAACTGGCCTTATATGGTCAGTAATTGTTACACTTACTCCTACAACGGAGCAGGGAATTTCGCTGAACTGTACATCGCAGATATTCTTTTGGCTTTACAAAGAATTGCTTAACTTGGTAATTTAATTTGCCGAGGAGAAGCAATACACACAGAGTGATAACAGTGCAGATAAAAAAAAAACAAGGTTGTAAAAATGTGTGTAGATTTTATTACAAATATGTGCTCTGGAGAGGGGAAAGAAAGCGGCATGTCTGTTTTCCTGTGCTTTCCACTTTCCAGACCAGGCACAGGTAAAGGAGGTGAAAGTAAAGGGGATTCATGTTTGATGAAATGGCGATTCTGTAACCATTTTTGTTGTCAGATCCTTCTACAGGAACAGAACATGGGAATTCGATATAAGTTTAATGTCCCCATCACCCGGACTGGTAGTGGCGATAATGAAGTGGGGTTTTCTTGGCATCATCTCCCATGGTCAGAATGTTCAGCTACATGTGCCGGAGGTAAGATTTATTAGTTTCAAATGTTTGCCGCAGCTACATCCTTTACTGAAAGATGGAATCAGTGTAACCAAAGGGTGTGTGCCTACAGTGACCTGTGATTGACTTAAAGTGATACTCCACCAAAAACGTGTCTATTTTTCTAACCCTAGCCCCATTGAGAGCAATTAAATGTAGATTTTTCCGTATTTTTTGTTTTGTATAAGTAGTGAAAAAAAAAGTTTTGGCTGGCGTTCCATTAGAGTGCCCAACAGCCCTAGGTATGTCCTTTCTGCTACTCCCTATCATTGTCACCATGCTTGGCTGAAGAGATGAGGCTGGTCTTGGCTCTAACCCAGTTTGCCTGAGTTCGCCCAAGCTCTGAATGCCACCCCCTTCTCCCGACCCAATCTATGGCCATAGTTGCAATGTTTCTTCGGCCCTCTGTGATGTATAGCTGCAACACAGGGAATGCACCTCCCTGCAACTGATTGAGTCAGTAGGAGGGGGTGGCGATTAGAGTTTTTAGCAAGCTTGGGCAGACCAAGACCAGCCCACCCAGCCACTAACAACACATACCAAATATGACAGCTGAGGAGCAGCAGTAGCAGCTCCAGGCCTTAAGTCAAAATACGTTAAGTGATGACATATTGCACATGCATTATATGCAATTAACAGATGTAAATAGGCCATTAAAGCATCTAAGACCAAAGACCAAACATTAAAATTTTGCAGCATACTAGTTCCCAGATAAGATGGCTGCATTAGTTTTCATTTTTCAGGCTATTTTCCTTTATTTTTACCCAGTGAACCTGCCAGTAACACACTTCCTTTCCTAGAGTGACAACCCTAGGAAAGGAAGTGTTTTAGGGCTACAGAATATCTCTTCCCTTTTACAAAGGGCATTCTCTAAAAGTGCATAGAAATTTACAAGGGCACTGGATTTCTGGCAGGATCAACATGTAAGATGTTCTTAGACTGAAGAAAGAAATCCTTTTTTTTTCTTTTTAACTTTGTCACCATGAAGATCACTGGAGAAAAGGGGAACATCAGCCACTGAATGTTGTGATTTGTTTATTTTTACAATAAGGCTGCTCAGTTCACAAAGCTATTATCGTTAGTTGTCACAATAACTCCTATTTTGAGCAATAGCAGCCAATGTAAGCTGAAAATAGTACTTGCATGGCCAAAAAAAATGATAGTTTTGAAAATAACACGTGTTCTAGCTTAGTGAAATTGGCCGTGTGTGCCTTCTAAAAATATACTCTATATTTGTAATAAATATGAAGAGCCCCTGTTTTCACCCACGTCCTGTGGCTTTACATCAGTTCTCTGTAGGGAGTTCATGTTTTTTCTATTTTACCTTTTCAACCACGTAATCCAGAATATATATTTTCCGCTAAGTATAATGCATTTATCAAACCATAGAATTCCCACCAGTGACATCAGCGATATTGCCTTGTTTTTCAGTTACACTGTGCTTGTCCTTCATGTGTTGTAATGTCCTTCAGGCCTTCCAGCTGGAGTGTGTCCGCAGGCAAAAAGTGTGCGTATAGCGTATCCACCCCATCTGATAGCACTCTGCTTTAACAGCCCCAGTGTGAGCTGCTTTCATCAGGTTAAATTAAAGCCAAACTAGTCCATTTATCCAATTTACATACAATTGCATACATAAGCTTGTTGTCCCGTCATCTCTGCAGCAGATGTGAAGCTCTTGTATTTGAAGGCTGCAGAGCTGTGCTTGTCAGCTCACCCGCTGGAACAGAGTGTAATAAAATAACCACGGCATATAATACAAAATAGATAATGATAAGTGATTTGCTGATACACTTACTGTTTAATTACACATACTAAGCTGTAAGCTGTCAAATTAAAGTAGTATTAAACTATTAACGTTTTTCAACAATGAATCCAGATCATTGCCCAGCAAAGTATTTCTTTAAAGTTTTGTCCAAGCGCTTACAGTCATCATGTTTCCGAACAGCTCCAACTCCCTCAACTTCCCTGAACTTCCTATCCAGTACAAGATCACAAGTGACAGTATAGTCTATCTAGAAGCCTATCCTACCTCAACCTAACCACTCAACCATCACGTTCTCAATTCATCCCCACACAGCTACCTCCTCATGTATCACTTGCCCTTCCCTTTTAGATTGTAAGCCCTCAGGGGCAGGGCCCTCCTTAATAGAATTGTCTTGAATTCTATTATGATTGTAATGTCTTCCTTATACTGTAAAGCGCTGCGCAAACTGTTGGCACTATATAAATCCTGTATAATAATAATGTAATAATAGTCTCTTGCAGCTGTCCAACTACTAGCATGGAGAAGGGAGCAAGGAGGAGAGGGGACATGTACCACTTACTTTTTTTCTTTTTATGTACCACTTACTAGCATGCAAGGTTGGCTCCATAGGACCCTGCAAGTGAAAAGAGCCAAAAACAGGATAATCAGGACTAGTGCTCAGGGGACCAACTGATTCTGCAGGAAGCTAAAACTTTTAAACATCAAGAAGCAGCATCCATTGTAAATTATTTAATCAGCATTTGAAATAGTGTAAAAACCTTTTGACTTTAATAACTCTTAGTGATATGTAAATCACAACAATATACTTCTCTTCTGTGCTCCCTTTTGTTCTGTTAAGTTATCATCCGTGCTCAGTTCACCTATATGTTATGGAGAGGAGGAGATGTTTTGTAGTCAAAATCAGGAAAGCAAGAGGAAGCAGCCTAGGGTGGCAGTGCTGCCCCTCCATAGACAACAGAACGGTGTCACCCTTGGGCAGAAAGGTTGTTACTGGCAGGATCACAGGGTAAAAATAAGGGAGAAGAGACGGGTCACATGTCTTGTTATCAAGTCGTGTCACCGGCCTCTTCCAATTACGGAATTCTCTCAGCAGAGATACCTCTTTGACACCTAAGACACCTTAGACACCACAGCGCAGCATGCATTTTATGAATGGGATATAAAATGCAGGCCACAATGTGCAGTAAATAGTGTGGTTGTACAACAGAGAGTCATATCCTCTGTCTTCTATATATATGCCAGGAGCTTCATTAAGGGCTCATTCACAGGGACATGCACAGTCGTAAAGCGTACAAGTCTGTGCAGAAAAAGGCACCCAGAAGGGACAGTTGGTTCGTATAGCCATGTGCTGCTGTCTGTACAACTCAATGATAGGACGCAGCTGCACGTGGCTATACGCGGACCCAAACTTGCACAGCCGAACAGGAGTGGATGCATGCCTCTTGACGCAGAGAGTCTGCAATTTTTTGTTCCCTCTGTTGTCATTAATGACATCACAAGATAGTATTGAGCTGATTTACTGACGTAGTTGAGAAACTTCACACAACAACATTTTGTGAATATTCACTTCAGTTATCCAATCATTTGGAAAGCAAATTTCTGATAACCTTGAATACCCAATCATGTGCATATAAAATAAGTAAACAGGAATTTGCTTTTCTCTTAACTGGATTTCAGTAGTGAATATTCACACAGTTTACAGAGTGAAGAGACTCCTTTACTAAATCAGCCATATTTAGCTTTGGAAGGGTTGAAGATATCAAGATAAGCTTTTGCATCAAATGCTCAACTGGCCTGCCATCCACTGTCCCCTTCAGCAACTTACAATTGAGTGTAAAAGAGTGGATAGGAAGCACCCAGCACGTGCGTGCAAACCAGTGTTACTCCCCAAACTGCGATCTAATAAAGGCGGATTTAGACAGTTCTTGTTCACATGCTTCATTCCTAGTCCAATTTTTGAAAAAGGGTATCACCTTTTGATTTAGCAATACTTTTTGCACATCTAACTATACACTATTTCTAAGTTGTTAAATTGGTATTTTTTGCAGCTCTTGAAACCATTGCCATTTTGCATTCATGCTGGACAACTGCGCTGGAAAAGGGGGGAAAATGGCGTCCAGAAAATTCAGACATTATGGTGCTTGTAAATGCTCATTTAGTGAAAATTGTGTTTATAATTTAGTATCTTGAAAAAGAATACTTGAATATAAAGCTTCTTTTTCCACTCAGAAGACAAAGGTATTGGCAAAAGGAGGAACATCTCATGATTTGATGAGGATGTCAGAAGGAATGTCTGAGTTAACCAGCTTGTTACACTTTTATTGATGCGCCATTCACCCGGTTTTGGCAATCTTATTACAGAGAACTGTAAGCTTATACCGACATTTATTTTTGCGGTTGTCCTTTAAAGCGAACATACCATGAACATATTTGCCATTCAAGGTGTCCAGTATTTTAGAGCTTCAGGGCACAGGGAGTCATAGAAGCTCAAACTGGATTCTGAGGAACATCTGCAAATCCATGAGGGTGTTTGACACTTAATCAGTTACGTTTTTGTTTTCACAAGCATGCTCTTTTATTGTTAGCCATAAATCTTGTGGATTGAAAAGCTGTTTTTTTCCATGGAGCTGCTTGCAATTATTCTCCTGACACTTTGAATCAATTTATCTAGGCGTATTTTCCATATTATGGGTGATGTCTGACGAGAGCTTTTCCTGCCAGAGATTTCATGCTACCATTTCAGACAAAAGGATCTGTTCCCAATGCTTCCTGTGTGACAGGGTCACAGCATTTCCTGGTGATTTCCACACTTAGATGATGCCAAAATTATAAGTGCAATAAGGAATTTTCACTTTTTGATTGACATTTTCAAAAAAACACCAGCTGAAAGGTTGACATGTGACTGAAGTCTGTGTATATAGACTCAGTCTCTCAAAAAGGAATCAAAGTAACCTTCCACTAAACACAGTAGGCCCCCTTATGAACAGCAGGTATCTACATGTCTCACTTGCATCACAGATCCCCAAAACAAAAAGTTTATTCCTCATTTTAGGTTAGTGGGGGAGCCATGAAAACCATTCCTTATTATCCCTTGGCCGTGGTTTATAGCACAGATTCATCTTAATAATATAGAGAAATGTGTTTCAAACTGAAACTGAATACTGATGTTTTAGGCTTGTTGGCCATCATCAGTGCAGGAAAACATTGTTTTTTTTATGCAATAGGGCTTGGGGAGCGAGGCAAGTTAAAACCCAACAGGTATTGATGAGGTGGGCCAAAAGGAACCTAAACGCCTTCTTCTGAACCAGTGCAAAGTACAGTAGAAGATATCTAATCCATCACTAATCTCAAAATCATGGGATTTGTGATTAGATATGTTGATACCTTCTGTTTTAAGAAGGCTCTGTTGTGCTTCAAGCAAGGTCATGGAAATGCAGCTATCTTCTTCAGCTATCTGAGAAGCATGGGTGGTGAGCTATCTGCCCATACTGAGATGTTTTGCCATATCTGTCATATGGGAATCTGGAAAACCTATGGTATTTGTGATCGTTTGCTCTTAAAAGAGGGAAAGATTGTGATCTTCTCATGGGGAGATTGTTGAAAAATCTCTGTGTGAAAGTGATATATATATATATATATACATATATATATATATATTGTATGTGGCCGCCAGTTATAGTAGTCCAGGTCTTATGCAGGCTCTGCTTCTTCGATAGCCTTGCTGATTCCTTATCTTACTCTAAGTCTACTAGACAGAGTGTGTCTGACAGAAAACAACAGACTCTGAAGTCTGTAATAGAATAAAACACCCACAACTCGGACTTTTAATTGCAAACATTGTACTAAATAAGCAGAATTGCTTGCTTTTATTGGGCCATTTTTATGCTGCTTAAGGTGGTTGAATACTATAAAAACAGGTTGGTAAGATGCTCACTGGTGAGCCTAATATATTCACAAATTAGGTGTAATCTCTAGGTAATCAACAGTATTTCTGCAGCCGATAATAACTGGCGTCTCACGTAATCAATATATAATCTGGAGTAATCTCTAGTTTTTCTTAATTTATGCAGCTTTGCAGATAAGATTTAGCCATACAAGGAGTGCATGGTTTTTAGTGAGTCAGTTGAGAGCGCAACCATTGTATAATACTGCCAGACAGGAAGCAGAACCTTTGTACGTAATGAGCAGATATGGCTGCCTTCATAGACATATGTACTTTCAAATTACACAGGGTTTCTAAAATGTTAAAATGGACCTTACATGAAAATGAAAGGTCTGCTTAGATGACTACACTGGATTGTTTTAGGAAACAATAAGAAAACTTTACTTAGAAGCCAACTTCCAATACTAGGAGGTGTCACCATGACTTGCCGATATATGTTGGAAGAGCTGAGTGCTGGTGTTCTTGTATTGTACTGGAGCACATTCTCAGGGAATTTCAGGCACCCAACTCTCCTGGCATGTAGCAGTGAAACACAGTGACATCATATGCGTCTCCCAGCTTTTGAAGCTAAATTCCCATAGATTTTAATCTCACAATGGTGTTTTTCACTGCTGTTTTTTAAATACTGGGCTGTCATTTAAGAAGGCCCTCAATCTTCATGAAAGGTCCTCTTTAATGCATATTGGTCAGCTAATCTGCATCATACTGTTGTCTTTTTATATGTTTATCTAACAAAAAATAAATGATTACACATTTCCTTTAAGTTGCATTTTTATTATTACCATTGGGCAACAAAACAATGTTGGCAGTTGTCCAGCATATACATCACCAACTTCGTCAATAGCTAATTGTTGCTGGTATAGAGCTTCCGAGTAACGTTTTATTTCTACAAAGTGTCCTCAGTTGTTACAAACTTCTATAAGGATGTTAATTAATGAGATGTTCAAGAATGATGTTATTATGAATGGCTGGAAAAGAGTCTACTATTGAATGGTAAAACCCTTGCAGTCTATGACAATATCGCACAGAGGCCCCTGTGAAGTGCTTTTTACTGTGTGGTGGGGTGATGCGCTCTCACTTGTGATCTATCAGCCTGATATGGCTGGGGGGCTGCTTGAAGCCTATTCAGTAGAATAACCTTGAGCTGGAGGTGCGAAATGAAAAGTGACAGAGCTTTATAATCAGAGAGCACTGAAACTGAAAGAGGATCCTTTGTGCTTCTGTGTGAGGTGGCACTTTCCCACAGTAAACTATCATATTTCATTCAAACAGCAACCATCTTTTGCTTAATTTGATTACAAGCATGTAATTAGTAGGAAGTAAACTTGCCCGTAGCAAAAAGATAATAAATAGGAATGCTGCAGCATTTCGGATTGGAAGGAAGATGGCTTTGTGGCATCATATTCTAATTCAACACCTTAGGTAAAGGAGCTCTGTTGTGAAAAATTTGTGTAGAGATTTGTAAGTAATGGCACGTAGGAACTCTGTTCCATTAAAGACTGTTTTTAAAAGTCACAGTTTTGTATGGCGTTCATAACTTCATTGAGTTTCTTGTTTTCCAGGTATACAGAGGCAAGAGGTGGTCTGTAAAAGACTGGATGACAACTCAGTTGTGCAAAATAATTACTGTGATTTGGATAGCAAGCCGCCGGAAAACCAGAGGGCCTGTAATACAGAGCTTTGTCCACCTGAGTAAGTGCTAATGCAGTTTTTTTATGTGCTATAGTAAATTGGTATTGATTAACCCAGACTGAGTCCTGGGAAATATATTGTTTTCGTTTTATTTTTTAAAGCCAAACTCCAGGCAAATATCTAAATACACACATAAAATACATACTGTATAGGAGCTGTTTTACCTGCCAAAGGATTTCTGTCTGCCCACTTCTGAGATTTGCACAGCCTCATGTTATAGCACAGCCAGGAGAATGGCTGTGAACCACTTTCTCTGTAAAAACTTTGAAATACACTGCTGACACCAATCTGCCCCGTAGATAGCGAAGGAGCAGCAGCACACATTGATCAGTTCATCTCTCTGCTGTTTCCTGCTGTTAGTGTGCTCCTTATCGGCGCATTGGCCCCAGTGTTGTTCTTCCCTTTCCTAGTTTGCTGCTGTGAAGAGTATTAAAAAAGCAACGAAAAAAACAATACCGGCGCCTCTGGTTGCAAGATGGGCTGGTTGTGTTGGTTTAAACACTCAAAAGGCAGCTCTCACTGGTCAAAAAGACCACCCAGTATTAAAAAAGGTTGATATCAAGTCAAATTCAGCTACTAGTTACATTTTAAAACATATTGATGGTTTATAGTGAATACATGGTTGCATTAATCAGTGTTTAATAGCTGCCAGACGTTCATATTTCAAAATGATTATGCTTGTTATGATAAATGGGGTTCATGAGGGCAGCTGGTAGAGCCGGTCATTGCTGGGTTTATACTGCCCTTCCCTGTGTTCCCAGGCAGCCCAGGAACATATCCTATAGGATTTTCTGGGTCTGCCTAGAGCACGGGTAACACTAAATGGCAAACCGTAGTCCAGACACAGACCAAATGGCGGTTCTGTCCAGACTTTCAATGCTGACCTGCACTGAGTTATGGCTGGTTGAACGGAGACACCCACCTCCGAGGATGTTGTTTGCAGTGCCAGCCAAACCCAGAGCAGCCCCCCCCCTCCGCTTCAGTCATGGCATCCTAGCAACCAATTACATCAGGCAGGGCCGGCTGCTACAGCCACAAGTGATGTGGGAGGCTGTACAGCCACCCAGACCACTTGTACTAGCCAGCTGCTGTACCCCTCCTTGCCAAGACCATGGCAAACAGTGTCGGATGGAGCGCGGGAGCAGACCAATTCCCCATTCTGCTCTGTGACCACTGAGGCAAGAAGCGCTGTGCTCTCTGCGCTTCCTGCTTCAGCTGTCAGAAGCCTGCGGAAGTGCCGGGTAAACAGAAGATGATACACATTCCTGTGCTTCATCGTCTATGTTGGAGGGCAGGGGAGAAATCAGTGGTGTAATAGACCCCTGATGTCTCCATAAAGAGAATCTGTCACCTCCAGATGCTGTCACATAGGAGCTTATCAGCCCCTTTGTGATACCAAAAGTTAAGTGAAAAACATTTTTAAAAGGTGATAAAAAAGTAAACAATAATAAAATAAAAAAACAACCCTGCCACCCCTGCCATCTGATTCTAATGAACACGTGTGTGTAAGGCATGCACGTGTATGTAAATGGAGGGGGACTTCTACAAAAAAAATTAAATACAATTAAACAGTGCAATGTGCTAAAATAACCACATCAGCACTATGCCTGGGAACACACACCAGCAGCTGTGCGTTACAGTGCAGCCGCTGGTATGAATGTAACCAAAATGGTGGACCACGGTACGAATACTAACTGAGTGACCAGTCTGTCTGGGCCGCAATACGGACCTTGGCTCATACAATTTTTATTAATCGGACCTTCTTGAATTTTAATTCACTACTCCTGGCCTAGAGCATCTTCGCAGTCAGTCATGCCTGGAACAGCTCCCATGAGGAAATCTCATTCTCTCTGTTTTTGTAATCTTGTTCTCTTAAAAAGCTCATAGTCATATGTGAGGACAGGGACATAATATTGAACCAAAACTGCAAAGTTCGTCCAAAAACACAGTCAGTCATCCTTTCTATAGACTGCTACATCTGCAAAACTACAGCCACTGAGCCAGCTTGCTTGTCAGTCTCACTTTTCCTCACTAATGACCGCATTCCCAAGGTAAATGAACTACGAAACAGAACAGAACCCCCTGACTGATAACTTCTCAGCTCGCACACACTCCACTTTATAACCATTATTTATACATGTAGCTCATCATTTTAAACATCTAAATGTATGCCTTATGTGGAAAATTCACTATATGTTAAATGAAACAATTTTACTGCAAATGGGAACTTGAGGGCTTGTGTAAAATGCAGTATGTGCATGGGAGTAACTGCACACAGGAGCAACTGCACACAGTAGTTACTTCATCTTGGCAAGGAATTCCGTTGAGCCTGTACGCTGAGCTGCACATGTGCGACTCATTGTAAAGGGACCAAAAAAAGTACTGACAGGTAATAAAATACGTGTACCATGGCTGCTTCCTTTAGGTGTCGTTGACATCACTGGGCCTCACTGCAGCATCCTGGGAAAATCGAGGGTCCCAAATGTTATAGCACTGTGCAGAATCACATTCTCATGGGATTTGGGATCCCCAGCTTTCCCAGGAAACCACGGTGAGGCCCAGTGACACCATCATCGTCTAGGTGAGTTCTCTAGAAACAAGGATGCAAGATGAGGTTTATTTTACATTTCTGCCCCAATTATTGCTTTTACTTAGAATTTTTCATGGGGCGATTTGCAGGATAAGCAAACTGCATGCCCTGACAATGACCCACTGATACCTTATGAGCGATTTCTCACTGCTCCGTTATTAATCACAGCCACCACTAAACCACCCATTGTCGGCTCGGTTGGAACCTAGAAGGAGCAGTGGCACCCTTTCTGTCACATGACTGTGTATGGGCCTTGCAATTGTCAGTTAGGCCAAGCACTGCATCATTTTTTTTTAATTAGAATTTTTTTATAGCGCTTTTCACCTTAGTGCTCACAGTGCTTAGGAGGTAACCTACCGGTCTTTGGGAGGTTGCCTACCACAGACAGGTAGCATGTCTGTGGGAGGAAACCAGAGTACCCGAACAAACCCACAGAGCACATCATGGGTGGAAGTCACCTATGCACAGAGAGAACATCATAGGTGGAAGTCACATGCACCCCCATACCTGGAAGCATTGGGTATTTTGCACTGGCTGCAATGGAGAAGGGAGAGGCTTTAGAGGTGTGTATTTGTGTCACTGGTGAAAGCAACTCTACAAAGACACTGTCACTTCGCTGTGATTGGGCAATGTGACAGTGTCTCTTTCACTATTTTTATTCCATTTTAATAGTTGGGTAGCACAGTACAGCATTCTGCTACTCAAGATGTATGACAAAGTTTCATAAGATATTACTCAGAACAGCTTGTGGAGACGGAGTGTAGGTGGAGGCACAGAGCCCAGTGAACACAGACATCCTTGGGGTCCAAGAGGAGAATGTGTTTTGTAGTAAGAAGGAATTGATGTTAAGTCTCAGAGAAGGTTTTGCTGTTAATTTAAGGATTTATTGTGGTCTCTGCTGGAGTGCTTGTGTCTGAAGCTGAAGGCTGTTTACCATTTGTACAGCTGAGGATTTTGACAGTCCGTGAACATGATAAATCTATCCAGCTAAACAGTATTTCTCCTTCTGCATACGTGAAGGATGAAGTGGCTCAACAAACATTTGGAATTAGTTTATTGGAAGCAGCCTCTCTTGAACCCTAGTGGGGTAAGGGCTCTCTCACTAAGGCTGAGCAGACTAAACTCTCTCCCTTAGGGAGTTGCGTTCCCAAACAATGGTATAATCTCTTAAAGCAAGTATTGACTGGGCCTCGATTGCTCTGCTTGGTGCCGTCTACATCTTATCGCTACACACAACTTAAGGCATATCTCATTCTTTTAAAGTTTATCATGCTGGAATAATCCCTGAAAAATTCTAATTTATGTATGAAAGTCAACAGATGGTTATGATAACGCTACCATTAAACTGTACCAGAATTCTACACATGTATCATTTCCTCTGCTGCTGTGCATATAAGATACTGCAGCTTCTGTTTTCTGGGAATTGGAACATTGCAAACTGAGTAAAATATAAAATGGGAACTATAGTTTCTACCACAGATGCCTTTCATAAGAAATGAGACTGGCAGAAATTCCCTCTTGTGCAACTACTGTATATGAAAAAACAATGGCAAAAACAGTTACACAAAACTGAACAGGACCATCCAAAGTCCTTTGTTGCATATGGGAAAATTTCTCCCATCATAAAACAAAGATCTTGGTAGATCAGTGAGCATGTGATGTCAGTATATAGACAGCACCTTTAATCTAGCATTTATACTGCTGCACCAGCTTAGAGTGAACCTATGCTTTGCCCATGGGTGGAGCAGCAGATGCATTGTACTGCCTCCTTTCTCAGCCGTATGCCCTTTTGCCTTTCCATGGTTTCATTCAGCTGCTGAAAGCAAAGAAAGGAAACCTATGCTCTGAGATGCTCAAGTTGGAGCTTACACAAAGCTGAGTGCTTTCTTTCCTCTTCCATATAACAACTTTGGGCCAATCACTGAGCAGCAGTGATGTCATGTGAGAGGTAGGGGAATGAGTGACGAGCTCCTCCATAATACATGGAGGTAAATATCTTTTTTTCTCCAATGTCTGAATGTAGCAAAGGGAAGGTTAATATGTGCTGTTGGGGTTGGACGAAGCACAGTCTTGCTATAAAGCCAAACCATGAAAGGCACTTGATTCGTCACATGGGTGGAAATCATGCAGAATATTTTATGGAGTCCCATGATCCATCTTTCCAACATGCGCCACTAACTTCTATAGCAATCTCCTGATGAGCCGTGCATTTTAATTTCTAAACAAATGCGTTATGCATTAAAGAGGACCTATCTTTAAAAATCACAACTCTGATGAATCAGTGGGGCACATATCAAATAGCCTAATATGCAATAGCCAAATAGCATTATATCTTAAAAGGAAAAATAGAAAATACTCTTTTCTTGTCCTTCATAAAACATTCTGCTTTGAGCTCTATCATGTAACCTACACCATAGCTGAATAGTACATGGCTTATGGCTGCCAGGTGCACCGTGCTTGTTTGGCCTCATTAGAGATTGAAAATTCAAACAAATGGTGCCTTTATACTTATTTCCTGTTATATTCTCGATTGTTAACAATATGGTATTCACTATTTTAAAAGGATTCAGAATCTAAGAATTATTATGGCTGGCCTGCCTTACAGTTTTTCCACTCGGCCTACTCTGACATTTTAAAAATGTTATTGGTGTCGTACATCGGGCTGTTCAAGTCTAATAGCACCTTGTGCCAAACACAACCAGTCCTAAGTTATTCCTGATCTATTCAGATATGCTGGAATTTTCTGAGCGGAATAAACAACCTATATAATAAAACATCTGTACTAGTGAAAAATATCACCTAAACAATGTGTGAAAAAGTATCATGTTTTTTGGGGGGTTTTCCAGCGTAGAGATTCCAACATATTGTTTACACATTTTTTTCGTTAAAGTGTATGTTCAGGCCAAAGCCTTTTTTTTTGTTCTGGATTGAATGGGGAAGAACTAGAAACCCGGTCAGTTTTTTTTTACTGGTACGTCTTTCTCCATTAAGGTGTTGTACCCTCACTTCCTGTCCTGCTAACAATGGTTTTACCAGACAGGAAGTGAGAGAAAATCTACAACAGTGACTCAGAGACCAATAAAAAAAATCTAGCCTTCCCTTCAGTACTAAAAAAAAGAACAATTTATTTAAGTTTGTGTTGCTGTTGGAGAGTTTCCTCAATTACTGTTTAGTAAAATATTGTTTGCAGAACAAAAAGCTATTTTTTTTGCTTGACATCTACTTTAAATGACCAAAATGTATCAAATTGTAACTGAAAAGGGACAAACTTTACTACATTTGGTAAATATGGAGAGATAATACAACCTTGCTATCTAAAAGAGGTTGTATCTTTTGGAAGGGAGAGTGAACCACAGTCAGTCTTACTACCTGTAAAAACATTTAAGGCCCCTTTCACACTATCTGATCATGGATCCCCTCCTGATTGTAGCGGTACAGACCGGATGTCACAGCTGTAACATCCGTGTCCATCCAGCTCTTTTCACCATCTTGCCAGGGAGTAAAAAACGGAGATGACCATGTCGGTCTAAGGGGAGTTGGATGTCAATAGACATGTGCCAGTTTTCATCAGATTACCTCCAATCCGGCACGCTCAGGTTCAGAGAAACGGAACACGGTTCCGTTTGTTTTTCTGGACCTAGCCAGAGTTGGGGGTAACCGGGTGTAAATGGACGTCCATCCATTTACTGTAGATCTGGCTGCCCTTAGACTTACATTTGGCATCCGATCAGGTTTGCCTGACACACTGACAGGCAGGCCTGATCAGACCACCCTTCTGAAAGGGGCCTAAAGCTAAACTCCAGGCAGATATAAAAGGCACGTATAAATACATCTCTGTAATAATGAATACATTATCAAACACAGCCTGTAAAGCAGAGCTCAGAGAAGGGGAGAGAGGAGCAGCACAAGGAGCTAGTTAGGTGTGCTGCAGTGCAGTCATGCTGATTGGAGGACAGAATAGAGTGACAGTGAGATGAGCTCAACATTGTGCTTTTTCTCTTATACTGTGCAGTCACAGGGTGAGGGTAGGGAGGGAACCTGTAAGTGAATGTGAAACTGCAGCAAAGAGAGACCAGGTCTCTCCCCTTTACAGGAAGGATTGTACTGTAGGGAAGAGCTGTGTAAATCTCAGGACCTGATGGACAGAAATATAAATCCAGTTCACACATACATATTTTATCTATCTATTTAGCTGTTTGCCTGGAGTTAAGCTTTAAATATAATTCATGTTACCTATGCTTATTTTATGAAACATGTCAGAGCTTATGTCTAAAGTGATACAAAGACGTGACAGTGATAATGTTTTAATTGTGAGTTATATATCGAGTGTTAGAAACATATATTTCGATTTCTGGGAAAATGTACGCCCTCGGGTTGATACCTGTGTTTTTTTTTTTTTATGTGCTGGAAAGCTTGTGCTGCAGTCTAAATAATGGAGTCTCTTGTGACATTGTCTTGTTAGAGAAGGATATCAGAGGAGCACTTTACACTTGCCTCAAATCCGGCTTCAGTTATCACAGATGTAAAAAAATATATATATTACAAAGACTTTCTTTGAGAAATAAAACAGATTGACTGCCTGTTCCATCAGATTCCAGCTGTCATTTTTTCACCTTAGGTCACAAAATTAAAGTAAACATCTGATTGGTTGCCACCGGCAACATAATAGATCACTATTATAAGTAGAGAAGGTTTTTTTTCTATTTTTGGAGGAATAGCTGAAACATCCTTTATAAGTGAGCAATGTTACATAGACATACATGCCTTTACCTTTGTTAGCAGGAAAATTATTTAGAGTTGAAATAAACTCACATCGGTCAGGCTATGTTTACTGTATGCAAATCAAGGCTTAAAGGGCATGTACGGTCAATCTGGAAGGATCACCGAGAAGGGGATGGAATAAGCACTTTTGGAGCACTTGTTTGAATCACTTTGAACAGATTGTTTTATGAACTTTTTCAGGGATCGTTTTATATTTGAACATAATTATGTATTGTGAGCAGTGTGTGTTTTTATATTTTGATGTTTTATATATTTTGCACTTTGATAATTTGGACACTCTGTGGCACTGCTTTTAATGTTTTGGGGATAATTATTTACCTGCACTTAATTATTTGGGGTTTTGATTAGTTATATTTATGTAGAGCAGTGCAATATTTGTTTATGATTTTTAGGTGGTATCAACCACTTTGGCACAGCTGCTTTGAAAATAATTAGGGTTTAGGCAGGATCACTTAAGGTGCCCATACACTGCTCGATTCTCGTACGAGAATCGGGCGAAATCCCGCGATCGTACGAGAATCGAGCAGTGTGAACTAAGACGTGCGACCGTTTCTACTGTACGGTCGCACGTCTTTTGTCGAGCCAACATGCTCGAAAACCCGCCGAGAATCGTACGATTCTTGGCGGGTTTCTAGCCTGCTCGCCCGATAGCTGCCCGATAGCTGCGGAACGGGCCGGTGTGCGCACACGCACACTGCCCGTTCTGCATTGCCGTCATCGGAAGCCCGTCCCTCAGCGGGGCGGGCTTTCGATGATCACAAGTACGATCTGCCCGTCCAAGGTGGGCAGATCGTACGGGCTTTCAAGAAGCATACGACCATCGCAAGACAAAAGTCTTGCGATGGTCGTAAGGTGTATGGGCACCTTTACACGATTGAAGGATTTATTGAAAGAGCATTTATAACCAGCCCATCTTTTTTTTTGGGGATAGAATAGGGAAAAATTAGAACCCCTGTCAATTTTTTTTATTGCCATCTGAGTACCTGCTGGGTACCAAGTCTTACTGTCCTGGTGACAGTTGTCACCAAGACAGAAAGCAATGGTAAATCCAACATTTTACAGGTTTCACCAAAAACAAGAGGCAAGGGGAAATCTTCCTTTGCGTTTATGACAACGGTCTAAAGCCAGGTATACACGCTTATGTTTTCTTTACTCAACGTGCAGGCTGAACAAAGAAGATATAACAGGTTCATCTATCAACGCTTTCGAACGTTGATGGACAAAACTCCCGCTGTTATAATACTCAAATGGAACTAGCAGCTTGTTGGCAAGGATTTTCCAACTAGATCCTTTGATCAGCTGATTGCCTGGCTGAAGAAAGGAATTTCCCCTCACATTGTAGAGATTTCCCCTCACACTTTTAGCACCTTCCAGTTAGAAGAGTGTTTTTTATTCTCATTCTTGCTCTAAATAGCTTGTGGCGTAAAGACTGTGGTAAGCCAGATTCATGCAAAAGTGTTCTTTTGAACCGGGGTGGCACAAATTTGCAAACATGAATGCTTGTGCCTATAGAGAGAGGAGAGGAAACACTGCAGACCCCAGCCCATCATTGGTAAAAATATTAATGATTGGCTGGGAAAGGGCTTCCTGGCTGATCAGTTCTTCACCCAAGTAGACATGCTCTTCAGACATCGGGAAAGGCATACAGGCATATGAGCATTCTGCAAATGGCCAGACAGGGTAAATATTCTCTAATTACCAAAGGCACCTTAGCTGAATGGTCCTAATTTGCTCTGATGTCCAAGAGCAACCCTTCAAGTGTCCAGTCTGCTCTGTATCTTGTAAAGACCTGTCCTGCAAATCCAGCCAGTTTGATTTATTCTGCTGTGTGTTCTTATGTCAACAGGTGGTTCATAGGTGACTGGTCCGAGTGCAGTAAGACTTGTGATGGGGGAATGCGCACACGCACAGTGCTTTGTATTCGGAGGATAGGACCTTCAGAAGAAGAGACACTGGATGACATCAGCTGCTTGACGCACCGACCAATTGAAAAAGAAGCTTGCAATAATCAGTCTTGTCCCCCTCAGTGGATAGCTTTGGATTGGTCTGAGGTGAGAATTTATGTAGGATTAACATATTAGGGAGCACTTTATAACATAGCATAGTACTTTTCAACCACTTGCTACCACAAAAGATCCTACCATCTACTGCATTCATACAGGTACTGACATATGCACACTAGTGGTCAGAATCCAGGTAACTTCCAGCACGTATATTTTTGGGTTTCCTAGAAGAACAGAGAACTCCAAAGAAACCCATGCAGGCATAGGAAGAACTTATTAACAGCATTTGATTAGTGTGCTTTAAGTAGAACATTAATCGTGGAACTTTCCTTGTTTTTCTTTTTACACCATCACTGTTCCTAATTCGCTATATATTGCCAAGAAAACATGAACATTAAAAAATGTTAAGTAGTAGCGTTAAATAAGAAAAAATAGATGGTTCAATGCAGAACTATAACTACTCTGGTGTTTCAGTGCAGAACTAGCTTTAAGCGATCAAGTCATGGTAATGTTAAACTTGCTTGAAGTAGATCAAATGTGGCTAGGAAGGAAGTCAAATACACCTGTCAATGAATTCTGAATGATCTCAGAAGCAGCTCAAATTGATGTCAAACTAATGCATCTGACAGAGGTTCAAAGCCCGTAGACACAGGCACTTAAGGTGGGGAAAAATATATACAATAAAGGTGATCAGCACCAGTAAGTGTAATGTGGAAATAGGAGCTACCAAGCACTAAGGATATTACTAAATATCTGGAAAATGTGAAAAACAATATTGTGCCGAGCTAATATTCATACATATGTAATAAATTGAAACATATATAAATGAGTCACATATATGAGCCTTCAAACAAATGAGGCATAGAAAATATCTACACAACGACAAAAAAGCAATACAGACAAAATAAGTCCCAAGGAAAAAACAAAAGCAAACTATGGTGATTGTGCAAAAAAAATCCTCAGAAGATTCACAGCCAATCTGCATATAACTCTCAGGTAAGGATAATCACACAATGCAGGCAGACCTTCACCTCCACCCAGTGAGTGATGACAACAAGTGAGTGCTTACCTGGGGAGGTAGACCCACAGAGCTAGGTCAAATGCGCATTTTCCCTTCTTAATGGGGGAGGGAAGCCCATGCACAGAAAAGGCGATAAGGTCTCCTCAGATCACAGGTACCAGTATAAATCCATGTGGAAAGAGAAAAAGGACAAGGACATGTGCATAACGTCCAATTAAATGCAATTTATTAAATAAAAAATGCGTACTCACAATGGTGTAAACAGTACAGGCATTGGGTATTGCTGGATCAGACCAGCAGGGCAAATGGCAGCAAAGCGATAAAAAAAACCTGTTCGTCCGGCTCAGCTCAGTGCAGTGACATCAGAAGCTCTGCCCTACGTACGTTACATCAAAACACGTGACTTCATCAGGGGTGACCGGGATGACCCCTGATGAAGTCACGTGTTTTGACGTAACGTACGTAGGGCAGAGCTTCTGATGCCACTGCACTGAGCTGAGCCGGACGAAAAGTTTTTTTTAGCGCTTTACTTCTGAGGATTTTTTTTTGCACAATCACCATTGTTTGCTTTTGTTTTTTACTTGGGACTTTTTTGTCTATATTGCTTTTTTGTCTTTGTGTAGATATTTTCTATGCCTCATTTGTTTGAGGGGAAAAATATATATTGCAGTCTATAACTCCTTAGATGTGGTGGTTATATTATTTTTCTTATTTCAGGCTAATTTCCTTTATGTTCACAGGTAATCCTGTGAATAACATACTTCATACCTGGGTGTCTGTGTTTGCCCCTCCACTATATCTATAGTTGTGCTCAAAAGTTTGCAGAAATCATGAAATTCTGGCATTGATATTGAAAATATGACTGATCATGCCAAAAACCTGTCTTTTATTTCAGGATAGTGATCATATGAAGTCATTTATTATCACATAATTGTTTGTCTCCTTTTTAAATCATAATGATAACAGAAATCACCCAAATGGCCCTGATCAAAAGTTTACATACCCTGGAATGTTTGGCCTTGTTACAGACACACAAGGTGACACACACAGGCTAAAATGGCAAACAAAGGTTAAATTCCCACATCTGTGACTTTTTAGATTGCAATTAGTGTCTGTGTATAAATAGTCAGTGAGTTTGTTTGCTCTCATGTGGATGCACTGGGCAGGCTAGATACTGAGCAGAGAGCAAAGAACTGTCAAAAGACCTGCGTGACAAGGTAATGGAACTTTATAAAGATGGCAAAGGATATTAAAAGATATCCAAAGCCTTGAAAATGCCAGTCAGTATTGTTCAATCACTTCTTAAGAAGTGGAAAATTTGGGGATATCTTGATACTAAGCCAAGGTCAGGTAGACAAAGAAAGATTGCAGCCACAACTGCCAGAAAAAGTGTTCGGGTTACCAAGAAAAACCCCACAGGTAACCTCAGGAGAACTACAGGCTGCTCTGGAAAAAGACTGTGGTTGTTTCAAGGAGCACAATACGATGATACTTGAACAAAAATGAGCTGTATGGTCGAGTTGCCAGAAAGAAGCCTTTACTGCGCCAATGCCACAAAAAAGCCTGGTCACAATATGCCCAACAACACAATTACACACCGCACAACTTCTGACACAGTGTAATTTGAAGTGACGAGACCAAAATAGAACTTTAAGAACATAACCATAAGCGCTATGTTTGGAGAGGGGTAGGGGTCAACAAGGCCTATAGCGACAAGAATACCATTCCCACTGTGAAGCATGGTGGTGGCTCACTGATGTTTTTTAGGGTGTGTGAGCTGCTGTCACAGCAGTATGGCCGAGCAGTGAGGAGAGAGAGGGCCGCCGGCTGTCAGATCCTGGCCAGGCGCCTCTCTCTCCTCACTGCTAGGCCATGCAGCTGTGACAGCGGCTACCTCCTACGCCCCCCTGCCGGCTTCAGCGCTTCACTTCTCCTCTGATCCTGCATACAGATGGGGGAGAGCACCGGTGATCCAGAGGAGAAGCTCCACTTCTCCCTGCTGGCTGATCCCCCCACCCCCCGCACCTGCACCCGAGGCGAGTGCGCCTCGCCCTCGCTACAGCCCTGGCAGACTTCTGAACAGGGGTCATTTCGTTGTTTTATTTGTTGCCATGTTTTGTTTTGTAATTGTGCCATTCTGTTATGACCTACCGTTGAATATGGTGCTTGCTCACTCATGTTTTCTTTAAAAATGGTACATATATTATTAATTCTCCAAGGGCATGCAATTTTTTGAGCCCAACTGCATGTAGGGAGCCATGGTTATCACACTAGGCTGGACTTCAAACATGTTTGCTTTGGTTCATCATCATTACATGGGATCTGATTGCATTAGTAGTTCAAAAAAGAAAGATAAGATTAATATCCACTTTCATTTAATCTCACGGGAAGTGACAAGGACGCACCATTTCTGGCAAGATCAATGGGTATTTTCTATTTTTGCTGAAAATGTTTTTAGACTGAAAAATTAAAACCAATGCAGCCACAAGGACCGGTAATTCACAATATATTCAATTTTTGTTCTTAAGTTAAGATATGTTTTAAAGACTCTCTCATAGAAAGTTCCTACTCTGAGAAAGAGGCAACTAATATCACAGTGCTGCTGGTGAGCCAAGTCTTTTCACACATATTTAGTAATTGGTTAAGGCTGCATCAACAGAAATCTCACTGATAATGTGATAGATCTCTTCCCATAATGTTCACATAACTGATGGACCTACCCAGTTTTTCCCTGCCTCAGACCATATTTATATGCTGCTTAGCCATGTTGAAATGATCCTTCTGTTTTCTGTGGAGAAAAAGTAACACTCACTAATTTGTGAGTGTTATTATTCGGCATGCTGGAAAATAATAAATATTATTAATAAATAATGAGCTCTACTAACGTAGGCCATACACTGTTAACATTTCGTTTGAATGCTCATTCCAAATAATTTATCAGAACATCCGCTTTTGCCATCATTGAGTAAACTGATTTTGTTCAAAAGCCCTTAAAAGTTTCATCCAGACCAGCTACTGGAATGGAATCCCAGTTGTATTAAACCGTTTTCTTTTGTGTCTAGCACATACGCATTACAGTTTGTACAATTTTTCCCAAGCGATAATCAAATACATGTTTAGAATTTCATTTGTTCAGATTTAAAAACAAGAAAGATTTTCCATCCTGCTCCTTCGATTTTCTTTGTTACTACAGTCAAAAGTGTTAACCTCACCCCTACGCAATTCACAAGCCATACTCAAATCTAACAAAACATTTGCAAATATGGGGTTGAATGTGGCTGGACATTGGCACCTTGATGAAGGGGCGAGCTAAAATAGTTCTGGAGTATGGAATCAAGTAAGATAATTTAATGGTGGTCAAAGTTTTAAAAAAAATGCACAGAGCTCGCTCTATTATTATTACCCGAGAGTACCTTTTTTATGTGAACTTTACATTTGTAGATGATTATGGTTCCGTTGTTTCAGGATTGTGTTTTATAAGCAGATCTGTAGATTGCCCATCCAGGAGTTAGTGGAACAACCCCTGAGATAAAATCAGTTATTAGTTAAAGGAGAAGTATTAGTATAGTAAAATGTATATAGTAAGTATGTACTCTTTCCAATACTTGGAGCCGGTGTGGGACACTGCAGCTGTCACACACCGGCTCTATAGATCAGGAGCTTAGTGATCATCTTACTGCTTATCACTCAGCTCATGGTTAGTTCCCTGCAGAAAGCAGTGACTGTCAGTCAAGGATGCCCCCCTCCCTTCCTCCAGCACTCATTGAAGGGACAGACAGAGGAGGGGGTGGGCACAGCTGGCTCTAGAGAGGCAGAGCCAGCTGCCAATCAGGCAGCAGAGTGGATCCTGACAATAGTGATCCTTCTTGACTGCAGCGCGGTTCTGCGCTGTCAGCATATAGCAGGCAATAGCCCAATATCTGCTGACTTTGGGTTACGGGTTTACATTAGTAAATATACTCATGTGGACTAAAGCTAAAGAAAAGGTTTGGCTTAAGTTAAGTGGTCATACACAGCTTTCAATTTA